GTTTGAAAGTGGTGGGGTTTCCTTTAAACGTTGGGTCCCGCCACTATTGAGTCGCTGGTACATAGTTCGACTCGCTGGTACATCGTTCGATCGCTGGTGCAACGTTCGATTCGCTGGCGCAACGCTCGGATCCAGCGATTCGCTAGCGAATCGCTCGATTCGCAAACTATGACATCGGCCACCTTCCATGCATCTGCGGCCTACAAAAGCTGGAAATAGCAAAAACAAATAGCATTCGAAACACTCACCTTCCTCTCTAAGATGATTGAAACTCTCAGTGGTTTCTCACCTTCTGCACGTCGATGTTGTACAGTTTCTTAACTGCGTTCCGAATCTGATGTTTATTTGCTCTCACGTCGACCATGAAGACGAGAGTATTGTGGTCTTCGATCTTCTTCATCGCCGACTCAGTTGTAAGAGGATGTTTGATTATAGCGAATGTATCGAGCTTATTGCGAGCCGGAGCCGATTTACGAGGATACCTAAAATAACATGAAAAACATGAAATTTACTCGAGAATCTGTTCGTGAGGAATGGCGAAGCGTGACGTCACAAAGAGGGACCAACCACAAGTTCCAACCTAAAGTAGGCTACTGCTGCCATTTCGAAATTTTATGTACATCTAAAAACGACGCTTTGCGTCGACTAACAGTATAGGTTGGTCGGAGACCTTGTAGAGCTTTACCAAATGACCACAAATCTATAAAGTCTTGGCAAAACCATAATCCTACAGGTTATGTACATTATTCGCTTGCTAGCAAATAGATACAAGTAGAAAAAAACCACACTAACTTCGGCACACGCGGAGTTTTCAGAGTCCTTGGACGACGAAAATGCACTGAGGTGCGAACCTTCTTCTTATGCAAGTGCTTCTGGCCCTTGACAACTTTCTTCTTTGCACTAAGAGCTTTCTTCGTCGCGGATTTTGGAGCAGACTTTGTTGCAGCCATTTATTACCTGAAATTTTATCAAGAATTGGCAACAACTAACATGACAAATGTCGCGCTAAAAATGATCACACTAGTTTGAAAAGACAAGTACTGGGTCCGATAGTTCCCAGATAAAATGGTTAAGGCAGCGTTCACAGTTCGATATGCGATTAGGCGCCAAGGAAAAAGGATACGTATCGATTAGGCGAGTGAGCAAATAGTCGCGATGACTCAGTGGGCGGAGGAAACGAGTCGATACGCATCCATTCCTTCTCGTCTAACCACCTAAGCATATGCGATCACGAGCTATGAAC